AGAGCTGGGGCATGGGGGGGGTGAGGGCTCCAGCTGGGGGTGCAGGCTCTGGGTGGGGCTGGGTATGAGGGGTTTGGGGTGCAGGAGGGTGCTCCAGGCTGGGATAGAGGTTTAGAGGGCAGATCAGGGCTAGTGCTGGGGCAGGGTTTGTTTGGGTGAGGGGCAGCCTCAGGGGTGCAGGCTCCAGGTGGCACTTAGCAGAACCAGTGGCATGTCCCTCTTCTGGCTCCTATGTGGAGGCATGGCCAGGCGGGTCTGCATGCCGCCCTATCTGCAGCCGCTGCTCCCGCAGCTCCCATTGCCTGGGAACTGAGGCTAATGGGAGCTGTGGAGGGTGGAGCTTGAGGTGGGGGCTGCATGCGGAGCCCCCTGGCTGACCCTAGGCATAGGAGCCAGAGGGGGGACATGCTACTACTTCCGGGAGCCGTGCAGAGTGCCCCCCAACCCCACTCCCCAGATAGAGCGAGGCAAGCCCCCGACCCCCCTCCCTGGCAGGAGCTCAAGGGCTGGCTGAAAAGATCCGATGGGCCGGATGTGGCCTGCAGGCTGTAGTTTGCCCACCCCTGATCTAGCTCCATCTCCAGAACTGCCATCACTGTCCCTTGCTGTCCATCCAACGTCCCTTTCCTGCCACACCTCACCTAGCTGCCACGTGCACCTTTGTATGGTTGCTCGGTCAGGAGTTTGATTCGCATTCATCCCTGGTGGAGTTGTCCTGTTATGTCTGACCCAAAAGGCAAAATCTCTCTGGCTAGGCTGCCACGGCTGGCTCTCTAGGGCAGAAGGCTCTCAGGTCACTCTCTGTGCCATGCTATCCGCTCACCAGCCGCTCTGCCAGCTCCATTCTTTTTAATCCTGTTTTCACTGTAGCCCTAGCGGGAGAGCGCAAGAGTCTGACCCTGTGTCCTTTGTTAGAATGGACCCTACGCACTCTGTATCTTCAGCCCCACAATTTGCCTCCTTTAACACAGGATGAACACTGTGTATCCCACTTAGGGTTGCCAGCCACCTGGTTGAAAAGGGACCCTGGCAGCTCTGTCTAGGCCGCTAAAAGTCCGGTTGGCCACAGCAGCCGGCTCCGCACGCGTCCCAGAAGCAGCCAGCATGTCCCTCCGGCTACTAGGTGCAGGGGCATCTAGGGGGGCTCCACACGTTGCCCCTGCCTGCAGCAAAAGTGCCACCCTGAGTATCGGCTCTGCAGCTCCCATGGGTCGGGAACTGCGACTAATGGGAGCTGCGGGGGCAGTACTTGTGGACAGGGGCAGCGTGCAGAGCCCCCTGGCTGCCCTCTGACGAGGAGCCAGAGGGACATGTTGCCACTTCCTTGGAGCCACCTGAGGTAAGTGCTGCCTGGAGCCTGCACCCCCTCCTGAACCCTGAATTCCTGCCCCAGCCCTGAGCCCCTTCCTGCAACCAAGCTCCCTCTCAGAACCTGAACCCTGAACTCCTGCCCTAGCCTGGAGCCGCCTCCCAAACTCTGAACCCCTTGGCCCCACCGATAACCTGGAGCCCCCTCCTGCACCCCCTGCACCCAAACTGCCTGCCCCCACCGGGAGCCCTTATCCCCTCCTGCATCCCAATCCCCTGCCTCAGCCCAGTGAAAATGAGTAAGTGAGCGGGTGGGGGAGAGCAAGCGATGGAGGGAGGGGGGATGGAGTGAGCAAGTGGGGGGAGGGGGCCTCAGAAGGGGCAGGGTAGGGGCAGAGCCATGGGGGAGGGGGAAGGGTGTACAGTTTTCTGCAATCAGAAAGTTGGCAACCCTAACCCACTGTCTGTTTGGGGTGTGTGTGTCCATGTCCTGCTGTGCGTCTGACCCACTGAGCATGAAAGGGTCTTTTATAGCTCTCAGCTACAGCACCTGTTCCTTTAGCTCAAGTTGTAGAGACTTCTCACTCCCAGGTTCAATCCCCAGTCCCAACGAAGATAGTTCTCATCACAGTTGCAGGTGTCTCTTTTTTTTCTTTCTCTCTCTCTCGGTGTTACATGAACACCCCAGAGATTCTCCCCCCGCAGGCAGAGGAGTGAAACACTGTCATGCTAATCTAGATAATCTGACCACAGCCTGAGCAGGGGCTGTGCGGACCAGGTGCTGAATGACTAAACCGCTTTATCACGCACGGCTCCAGTGTGAGTTGCTGCACCTCCCTGGTGCTCGCGACCTTGAGGAAGGGTTCCAAGCCCTCGCACGGGCTGTGTCAGCACGGCTAATGTCATCAGCCGGCTGTGTAACCGCATGGGCTGGCCAGTGGGTGCATTAAGTGCCGTTGCGCTAAGTCTGCCTTAACAGTGCTCAAAAATAACAACATGCAAGGTGTGATTTCTGTCATGCTAGCAAAGCCACCACTGCTGTCTCAGGCAGGAGCGACACCCAGGGAGGCGGGTGGCCAAAGGGTTTAAGTTGTGGTCACTCAGCTTCCAGGTTCCTGGCTTGACGGAAGTGGCTAGTGCTGTTGCCCTCTGCAGTCTCCCTGAGCTGGGAGAAATCCCTAGTGGTTGTCCCATAAGGCACCATCTTATTAGCCCTGCCCATACGCACGTATTGGTGGCCTTCTCCGAGAGGATCCAGACTTGATGGTCCACGGAGGCTGATCCCCTCTGCTGCGAGTGAAAGTGTCAGGGCCCGTCTTGTGTGCGTGTTCCATGCAGGGAGAGTGGGCTTTGCTTTCCCGGTATGTCAGTTGGGTGCTGTCCACCTGTGTTAATCCCATGCACGCTTGCAGGCAGCAAAAGGTCTGGGGGAGGGTGCAGAAGGGGACAGGGTAGCAAGGGGGTAGCTTCCCTTGTAACCAGAGAGCTGGGGGAATGGAGAATAACCAGCCGCAGTGCTGCTAGGCCTCCTAGAGGGCGTGGCTCTTGGAAACCTGAGTTGGTGCACTTTTGCAGCGCTCTCTCAGCTGGAAGGCCCCATTCCTCCAACCTCAGTTCACCCACAACACCCTGCAGCCAGGAGGGATTGGGCTTTTCGCTGCTCACCTGTTTGGAGGCTCTGTGGACTCTGGTGCTGCTACCCCTGCCTGGTCTGGAAAGTTTAACTGGCTAAGTGAGTAGCAGAGGAGGGCCAGGGCACCTAGGAAATCCAGTCTCTGCTTCTACCTGTTGGCAGAGTCGGGTAGGACTATGAACAGGGAGGGTGTGGTGTGGTATGCAGCCCTGTATGGGCACATAGGTCTAAGGCTGCCATGTCCGCTGGCTCCTCGAAGGCAGCCTAGTTGTGGGTGAGGCGTGCCGGGCCCTGGCTGCAGAGATCCACAGGGACGTGCACACCATGCGTGCATCCACCTGGGGGTAGGGTTGCCAAGTGTCAGGTTTTGGACCAGAATGCCTAATCGAAAAGTGTTTCTGGTGCCCCAGCCCAGAGCCCCCTCCTGAATCCCTCATTTCTGGCCCCACCCCAGAGTCTGCACCCCCAGCCGGAGCCCTCACCCTCTCCAACACCCCACCCCATGTCCTAGCCCAATGAAAGTCAGTGAGGGTGGGGGAGAGCAAGCAGTGGCGAGAGGGAGGATGGAGTGAGTGGGGGCGGGGCTGCGGCGGAGGCAGTTAGTGTTTGGGTTTGTGCAATTAGAAAGTTGGCAACCCTAACTGGGGGGCTCTCTCCCCGGCTTAAGTAGTGGTGTTGGAGAGCTTCTCAAGTGCACCTGAATAGCTTGATATCCTTAATTACAGCCTTAGGGCCATGCTGTGTACCTCTTCCCCCTCCCCCCCACGCTTATGCTTTTGGATTTATGCTGCTGATGGAGGTTTCGGGGTGCAGAATTAATGTCTGTTAGGCTGCGTTTTCTAATTCAAGCATAATCCGTGTGTGTAATGCTCTGTGTGTGCATGTAACCCTCCATGTGTTCTATTCATGACCAGCCCATGCTTCTGAACCCAGTGGCTGGCTGGGGATATCACGTGCCCTTTCTGCACACAGCATGCATAGCGGGCCTTCTCTCCCCTCCATCAATGTCCTTCTCTTCCTCCCCCCCCTCCCCCAAGATCCTCCCCTGTGGCTCCAGGACTGAAATTGCCCAAGGCAGGGCGAGTCAGTCCTGGCCGCCTCCTACAGCTGGAATCCATCCCGCTGCCTGTGACAGGTTGTATCGTGGTGGGTCTCCCTGGACCAGAAGTGCCCAAGCACTCTGTGGAGAGTGTGTTGAAGGGGAACTCCTGATAGGGGAAGTGCCCTGATAAGGATTTACTTTGGCCTGGGGCCAGCTGTGTGGTGCAAAGAGCTCTTGCTGTAGAGAGGAGACTAGCTGGTTGGTGTGGTTATCGGGTGTGGGGAGACAGATGCGTGCATGGTCCCCTGGCCTCCTCTGGCACCAGCTGGAATTGAATCCTATGTGATTAGGGCCCTTTTACCCCTTATCAGCCAGGTATCCCAAACCGTGTGTGTGAGAGAAGAGGGAGTGGGGGGAAGGTGGTATTCTCTCTCTCTCTCTCTCTCTCCCATGCCCTTTGTGTCTCTCCCTTGCCTTATACCCTCAGTCGCCTTCCCTCTCGTGGGCTGGGCAGTCCAGCAATCCTGGGAGGGGAAAAAAATGATCTCCTGACTGGACCTAATTTTTCACCGTTTGGCACCCCGTGCAATCATTTATGCCTGTGCAAAGTGGGTATAAAATGCTGCTCACTCAGGATTCCCTGCTCATGGACCCCGGAGTTAGTGTGTCACACCCATTCGGCACAAGGTGCGCGGCGGCGGGGTCCCTCCTTTGCTGGCCTCCTAAACAAAACTAGGCAGCATCTATCCCGTTGCTGTTGCCTCGTTCGCCCTCACCCTGGGTGGACGCCGGGCTCTGATCGCTGATGTAGCGTTCCCAGCAGGGCTGAGCAGGCATGAGCTCACCCTGACTCTCAGCTCTGCACCCTTTCTCCACCCATGAAGCATCTCCGACTTGCTGAGCACAGGGACTGGATGAGCCAAGAAGCTGCCACAGTCTCTGCTCCTGACTCTTTACAGTTTCGTGTCAGCCTTGTGACCTCCGGGTTAAAGCTCCTCTTCTGTTCCCCGCCTGCAGGTCTTACAGAAGCTCGGCAAAGCGGACGAAACGAAAGACGAGCAGTTTGAGCAGTGCGTGCAGAACTTCAACAAACAGCTGGTAAGCGAATTGGTGATATGTAATTACACACAGGGCCGTAGCGCTGCAGAGGGCTTTTGGAAATGAACATGCAATGAAGGCACTTACAAACAAAGCCATAATAACACAAGTTACCCACCCACCTGTAAGCCCCCTACTGTGCATACACACCAGATCACATTAATCTCTTATTTCATTTCCTTGCCACATGGCAGGTAACGTTGTATTGGAAAAAGGCCAATTTAGATCTAAAATTTAGGTTTAATAAAAGCTGAGTAGCAAGATTTTTCCATATTTCCCCCTCTTTTATAAACTTAGTTTTAACAGTGGTTTGCTGCGTGCATTCCTCTGGCAGTGCGGGAAACCCAGCCCACTAGCCGCATTGTGCTAGGGCCAGAGAACCAGGAAATTAAACTGATTAGAAATGCAGCATAACATTAGCCAATGTACTTTACTGTTCCTCAGCTGAGTGAAATGCAAAAAAGTAAACAAACCGCATAAATGGTGAAAGGAAATACACAGCTGAGAGAGCCCACAGCATTACTTCCCTTTTTGTATCAGTTTGCTAAATCCAACCAATCCTGTTTGTGTGTTAAAATGTTTCACTGCTGCATTTTAACAAAATGTATTTCTGTTACGATAGCACCTAGGAGTTCTAGTCATGGACCAGGACATATTGTGCTAGGTGCTGTACAAACACAGCACAAAAATAAATGTATGTTTGTAGGATGGCAAGAAAACTCATTGATTTGTAGGCTTTTTATACAGAACAGTCACATCATATTCTCTATCTAGAGCGCACTGTCACTTAGACTGGAAACTGTAGCTAATGGGAGAGATTTTGGAAAAGAGAAGCTAAAGGCCGAGTGGGCTGGAGGGAGTGATTTATGATGAAAGGATGAAATAGCTAAGCGTGATCCCGTAGCTTCCCCACACAGGAATAAGGGGACAGGATAACTGTGATAGAGAGAGGGTCGTAGAGACCTCGGCATAAGAAGGCAAACCTGAATGCTGGAAGATTTCCCAATAGCCATTGTTTAAGGCTGAGGGATGGGACGAGTCCCCAAGTGGGAGTTGCACACGCAACAGGAACTCTTTAATTTGTACTGGGTATTAAAGGATACACTGGTTTTAATATCTCTCAGCTGTTTCCTGACCAACCTCCTAGTCCTCTCCCACCAATCAGTCTCTCTGCCTGGCTCCCTCCCTCCCCTCCAGCCACAGAATTTTTCCTTCCCACTCCTCCGTCTCCCTCTCCCTTATTCATGCATACAGAGAGCCCGTTTCCACATGCACCCCTCCCCCTCCTGCTACTGCATCCATAGGTCCCCAGCCCCAGAGAACCCATTCTGTGCCTGTACTGTTCAGTGCCTTTCTGTGGCCTGTCCCCGAGTCCCAGAACCACAGACGTTGGTAACAGAATGACCGACCAGGTCATCCAGCATCACTGAATGGACCTAGGAGCCTGTCCAGCGTCTGCTAGCCGCTGCTGCGTAATGCCCAGGGCACAGCAAAACTCAGAAGTGTGCTTCCATCACGTCCCTAAACGAGTCACGGGCCTCTTCCTCGGCCATAGCTCCCTTTCTGCTGCTGAATGCAGAGTCCCACGACGAGATTTTTTTAGAGTCCCTCGGTCTCGCGTGAGACTCCTCTAATCCAGAGACTCGCCTACGAATCTCTCAAGGCCTCTGTACCGCTGCTGCCAGAGGAGGCAGCTGGTGCTTCAAAAGCAAGTGCAAAACCCCAGTGGCTGGTCTCCGTGATTGTGCAGTATTCTATGTGGGAGAGAAGCGTTTCTCCCTGGCTGCTCGTGGCTGATGTGGTATTGTGAAACGCAGTTTGCCCTTCATATTTGTTGCTTTACTAGCCATCAGCGGCCATGGAATTGACTCTTTTTAAAAGGGGAAAAAACAGCTCCCTGCCCACCCAGCCCCTCCCCCCCCATTAAATCTAGCCACCCTCCTGCAGCAGTGAGTTCCATAGTGCATCAATATGAGGCGTGAAGAAGCGTTTAATTTTTGTGTCTCCTGAATGATGTGGTGATCAAGTTACCCACCCACCTGTAAGCCCCCTACTGTGCATACACACCACATGCTGCCCTCTTTGTTCTCTTCTTAGGGGACAGGACAAGGAAGGAAGAACTATACCAGTCAGTTGATCATAGGACTGGGAGCTGCTGTGTAGCCTCTGATCTGTCACTTGTCCTCTTTGCCTCTCAATTTCCGCATGGGTGAAAAAGGGATGGTGCCTGTTTTTGCAGGGAGTGCAAACCTGGATTAGTTTGATTGTGCAGCACTCTGAAACTGCCAGGGGTAATTATGATGTTGGCTCAGATATGCTGGAAAAAGAGCTCTATATATAGATAAGATTTCTGTGGACTTCCTTATAAAGGGCTTGTCTATGCAGGGAAACTGACCAGAATAGCTGTTGTGGAATAAGCATTTCTGGAATAGCTCCCTGCGTGAACGGTCCATTCCAGAACGATTAGTGTGCTCGCAAACTGCACTAATCATTCCAGAATAAAGTGACTGAATAGAGGATCTACCCCGGGTGTGCCATTGCTTATTCTGCAGTGTGGACAATTTTCCCATGTAGACCTTTCCAAAGAAGGCACCTTAGACCAAAACTTAAGTTTTGAGAAAAGTTGGGCTCAGACCCTCAGAGATGTTTAGGTGCCTAACTCCCATTGGCTTTCAAGCCAAGGCATTTCTGGGACCCTCCCATCCCGCAGTTCTCCTATTCTTGCAGCACATGTGGTCACTGTTCCTTGGCTTTTAAAGCTAATGGGAGTTAGGCACCTAAATACCTTTTTGGGTCTGGGCCTTGATCTCTTGCAGCAAGGAATTAAAGCTTTGTATCCAATTTAGCATTTCAGTGGGCTGGAATTGACTTGACCTCCAGAGTGCTATTGAAGCAGGAGGGGAGGGAAACACTGCAGATGGCTCCAATCCTTGTCTGCTAGTAAGTCAGAGGGGCCCCGGGTTCTGTGGCTGAGTTGAGTCGTCTCACTGGGTGTTTCTGGGTATGGGGCTATTTGTGAATATAGGACAGAGATAAGTTAGCTCTCTCCTTCCCTCAAGGCATCCTGTGGTTTCTCCAAGTGTGTTTGTGTGTGGGGGGGAAGAGAGCCCATGCTGTATAAACCTTCCTGTGTCCATTCAAAGCAATGCAAGAATCAATCTCTCTCTCTCTTCCCCCCCCCCCCCCGAATGGTAGGAGCTCTCTGCTTAGACAGGTGGACTTTGCTATGTGACCCAGGAGCTGAACATGGCCTTGCTTCTGCAGAGCTGTAGATGACCACACACACACACTAGGTCTTACAGGGCTTGACGAGGCGTCACAACTGGGCTGTTAGTCTCCTCCTCGTGATGGGCTAAATTTGGCTGTTAACCTCCAGCCTGGATCCTTGGAATGCACCCCCCCCCCCCTCCCCCGGCTCCCTTGCCCAAATGTTATTTTGTATACTGCCACCATCATAGCCCCCAGCCATCCAATGCATGTCACCCAGAACTGGGAATAGGGGGCATGCTGGAAGAAGTGAAGGGGGACCCTTGTCTTGAGAGGTTGTACCCATGTTACTCGCCCGATGTCTCTGAATGTCACTGGCTTGGGAGGGAGGAGAGTTGAAGGCTTGGCGTGGAATCCAGGCCTGGCACATGGCAATGGTACCTGCTCCCGGCTGGCGGAGTTGCTGTGTTTTGATACCCTGGCGTCTGTCACTCATGTGGAACCTCCGGGCTGGTCTACACGGTTTTACAGCATGTTTTTGATAAGGGTTCCTGTCTCTCTTGCTCTCCTGTGATGGCTGGGAGCTGCAACTGTTACTGGTGAGGGTTGGGTCTTTCTAGACTCGTTCCATCAGGGCTGAGGTCAGCACCACTCCCCACCACCCCTCCCTCGTATGCACCAGTTGGTGTGGGTGCCCCTTGTGCAGAGCAAAACATTCCTCTTCAGCTTGCAGAATCTGATTGCTTTCAGCAGTGCTGTTTCCTAGTTCTTGGGGTGTGCGCGGGGAGGTGGATTAGTTTTTGTGGGGCCCTGGGCCAGAGCAAGTGATTGGCCCCTCCCAACCCCTTCCTCCTGCAGTCCTGCCCCAGTTCTGCCTGCAGCCCCACCCATGGTCCACCTCATTCCACCCCCTCCTGCTGTCCATCTCCTTTCTGCCCCCCCACCCTTGGTCCCAGGGCCATAGTGGGGAGTGAGGGCTCCCCCAGCCCTGAGGCCATGGCAAGAAGCTAGAGCTCCTCTAGTCCCAGGGCTGCAGCTGAGGTCTGGGCACAGGGGCTTTCCCTGTCACCCAGCGCTCCTGCCGGGGAGCAGGTTCTGGGTGCAGTGGCTTTCCCCCGCCCTACCCGGCGCTCCTGTCGGCATGTGGGGGCACCCATTTTTGTAGGGTCGCCTATCAGCCCAGTGGCTAGTCTGCTACTGGGGGGAGAGATGGGATTTAGTTGCCCATACATTCACACACAGGAGCTGGGTGTCTTTTCTGATTTTGGTAAAAGTGCCAAAGTCAAAATCCAATGAGCAGTGTCCTTCAGGACTAAATTTTCAGTGAGCCTCCTTAACTGTGCCCTGCTAAACTGGGGAGTGTGCTGTTTTCTGTGTGCGCAAAGCTCATACGCTGGCTGTGTTTTTCTCAGACACAGTTAAGGAAAGATGCCTTGAACTTTCAGGATGGACGTCCTGCTGGTACCAGAAAGTTAACTACTCCCAAAGCTGACCCAGAGTCCGTGGTGATCTTCCACTTTAGCTTGGCTTTCTTGGCATTTGTGGGTTTTAATAGATATTTCATTGAATCCTTCTACCTTTGTGATCATTTAAAGAATATTGTGCAACCACATTTTCTTTCTGACCAGCCCAAAAAAGATACAACCTTCTTCCCCCCTTAGATTAAAAATAATGCTGAGTAAAGGGTTTACGGCCTGTATTTCAGGGATCTGTCTATTGGTCTCTAATTCTGCCCTCAGGGCTTTATGGAGCATCTTGTAAGTGGCCACTTACAGAGCGGAGCGTTAATTCTT